CGACGTTAACAATGATACGTGTTACTAAAATGTTGGAGAATTTGGAAAGATGAATTAATCATTTATTTATTCTATTTATTCGTATCCATCATTATATTCAAATTCTATTTAACAACATTTATCTAAATAAATTACTTCTTCTTTTGTTTGATTATTTAAATGATGATAAAATTGATAAGAAGAATAATAAATGAAGATAACAGATATTAAAAGAATAAAGAAATATAAAATAGATTAAATAATGATAGTTAATGGTGAACTAAATTATAAAAATAACAAATAAGTAATGAAATACAATAATTTTATGAATATATAACGATTTTATATTCATAATATTAATTTATTTTAAATTATATTTATACTCATTACATTATTATCTAATTATCATTGTAATTTTATTTTATATTTTTTATATTAATTGTTATTGATGATGAAAATAAAAGAAATGAATAGAGTTAATATAATTATCAATGAACTTAATAAATGATATAATTTGAGTATTTCGATATTGTATTTTATTAATTTTATTTCATTATATTTCGATTATTCGTTATTGATTTAGTTTATTAATTATTTTTTGTTTTCTTGTTTATTTTTGATAATCATTTTCTTTTATTTTATCTCAGTTTTATTTTGTTATTAATGATTATTCTTTTGTTTGTATTCTATTTGTATTTTAAACATTAGATATTTATTACTATTATATTTATTTTTTGCATTTGTTATTTATGTTTGGTTTAATTAATATCTTTTGAATATCCTTAAAAATTCACAGATAGAATGTTTGTTCATATAACACCTATTCTTTAATTTTTATTTCATTTTGTTGAATTTCTAATAAGAATTTTATATAAAACCACAATTATTTATTCATTCTTCTATTTTCTATTCTTCAATTTTATTTATACTTTCTTTTTCTTTCTTTATTATTTATTACTTTCTTTCTTATTTTTATGTATTTTTATTATATTAATGATAGTGATATATTGATATTGGTATATCAAAAATAATGAACAATATAAGGATATTAATATTAATTTAATTCTTTTTTTATTGTCTTTTTTTATATATTGATTATTTATTCCTTCTTTAATTATTATATTCTTTATTCTTTATTATTATTCTTTTATATTCTTATTTATTTGAACACTATTTGCTTTATTATTGTTATTTTTATACTTTCTATTTTGCTTATTCTTGTTTCTTCTATTTTCTTTCTTTTTTATTCTTTATTTTATATCTTAATCGTTTTACTGAATTTAAATATTGATTAAACTATTCATTTAAAGATATTGTGCACCTGTTGGATAAAGTGGATCAGTAGCAATACCACAAGTATTTCCTTCAATAGCAATATTAAAATACCCATTCTCTCCCCATGTTGTTCCCCATGAATTTCTAATTATCCAACATTCTATTCCATCAACAACTCCATACCCAACTGCTGATACTTCGTGATTTAATGCAAAGAAACTCTTCTTACACTTTTTATCTGTATATGCTCCACTTTTATATAATTGGAATTTCACAGATGATGCATCCATTGCAACATCAACCATTCCTTGTGAAATTGCAGATTTAAGCTCTTTTACATTATTTCTTGCGACTCTATTGTAACCTTTCATTGTAACATATGGTTTTATATTAGTTTTACATTCAGAATCCATTCCAGTAAATGGATATTCTGTTTCATTACTAACTCCATGTTCTATAATGTAATCATATGCGTTTGATCCAAATCCTCCTCCACATCCATTATTTCCATATTCTCTTGTACATTGAATCATTTCTTCTTCTGAAAGATCGAGTGTATTAGCATCACCTCCTTGTTCTACTAATAATCTTCCTTCAAGTGCTGCAATTGATCCAAATGCATAACACCCTCCACACTCTGCTTGATCTCTAATTGGTGTTACTTTTCCTTCCTTTCTCCAATCTACTGTTTCAGGTGCTTCAATATTCAAATACTTAACTTTTCCTTTTCCTTCTTCACTTCTTTTTGATTTAAGAATATTTTTATATTCTTCATTCGTCATAGCAGCAAATGGCCCCTCTAATGATAATTTAAATGTTCCTTCTTTGTTAAATTCTCCTACAATTTTACCATTCATATTGAAAATTGCATTTCTTCTAAGCATTTCAACTGCTGTAAAATGTTTATTATATTTTCCAACCCATGTATTGAAATCAATCCCATTTACAATACTTAACAAATAAATCAATACAATCATTCTTGTTCTTTTATGTTCTTTTGTAGTTTAAATACTCTTTTTATTTTCATTTTTTATTTGAATTTTCTATTTTCTTTGATATTTCATTTTGGTTCCAAAAGAAATGTCTTATTTGTTTGATATTTCATTTTGATTGTAATAATAGTTATTATTCCATATGAAACAAAAAATAACAAATCATACTACCTCTTGACAACTTAAAAGAACCAATACTTTATTATTTTTATATAAATATTGATAATTATAACAATATCTTTATCCTATAATAAGTATAATAGAATAATACATTAACTATCAAATTCATGTTTAACTTATTAAATACATCAATACCTATCATTTGATGTAATAAAAACATTTTAATAGAAAAATGAGTAACATCAATAAGTGAAACAATAAAAATTATATCATTAGACGAAATCAAATAATAAAAATATAAACACTAAGATATAATAAATTATCATCAATAAAAAAGAAATAATGAAATTCAACGAATAGAAAATGACATAAATAACAAGTTGAATACATACAAGAAATAACAAATAAATGAGGTTAAAATAAATATAATATAAACATAGATTAAGTAACATAAACATTAAATACATGAAAAAAATAAATAAATAATTTATTAATCAGGTTATAAATAGAATTAGTGAATAAATAAACTAACAACATAAATATTTAAATAAAATTTAATTAACAAATCAATAAAATCAAAAATAACATTAAAAGTAAAGAAAACGAGAAATGATGCATAGAAAAATAATTATTCAAAATATTTTTTTGATAATGAAAAATTAATATTTGTTATAGAAAAAAAAGGTCAATTATTAGATATATACACTATTGGATTTTATGAATATTGAGAAGTGATTGTTTCAGTTTCTTCAATATGCTCTATTGGTGTAATAGAGTTCATTTCTAGCATACTCATATTAGATTGTTCTTCTTCTAATGTGCTGTCAGAATTGAGTGTGTAAAACATTAAATCTTTCATATTTTTGATTATGATTGTTCGTAGGATATTGGGGAAGTCTAATTGTAATTTCAGTGCTTTTAATCTTCTTACTGACTCTTTGTGAATTAATTTATTTATTGATAATATAACAGGTATTATTTCTACATATATTATTTCTCTATTATTTCTTAATTTTTCTTGTATTTCTTTATACTTATTTATTTTATGAATATAATTTAATTCTATATTATTATCTTGACATATAACAACATCTATGATATATCATTTATTTTCTTTCATATTTTGATATTATATATCTTATCTTCTATCATTGAATTAATTGTCACTAACCAATAAATCTTTATTGTAAGTTATAACCATTTCATCATTATTAATATATTTTGGAGGATTATTAAAATCAATTGCATCAAATGGCAACGAAAAAAAGCAAATAATAGAAAAAAGAAGAGAATGAAAGATATAAAAGAATAAAAAGAAAGTAAGAAGTTTGATATGATGAAGAAAGAATAAAAGTAGAAAGGAGAGAATATAAAAAGAAAGAAGATAAAGTGTAATAAAAGAAAAGAGATGATAAAAGAAGAAAAGAAGAAATAAATGGGGGTATTTTTATTGTAAAAATTAGAAATATGAAATAAAAGTGTCTAATTTAATGATGTAAAATGATTAACAATATTTTGTTGTTGAAAAATATTTTACTCTTTTTTATGTTTATTATTTATATGTATAATTTCATCATGATGTTTATTATATATTCAATCATATGTGTTATGTTATTATTATAATATGTAATATGTGATAAAATATAAATGAAAATGATATGAATATATAACATAGATAGAATATAAAACAAAAGAATAATAAGAATAAATGATAAATAAATATAGAAATGATAATAAATGATATAATAATAAAATCAAAGTATAAAAGATAAAAATAATATTAATATAAAACAAAAGAGAATAAATATAAAATGAAAGTAGATATAAATGATAATAATATAAAAGATGAATAAGATGAATAAACAAATACAACTAAATATAAAAGAATAACAATAAGAAAATCTAAATAATATAAACATAAAAAACATAAAATAAGAAGAATATAATAATATACATAATATAAACAGAGAAATAAATATATAAAAATAAATATATAAAAATACGATAGATAAATAACATAATAATAAAAGAATAAAAAGAATAAAAAGAATAAAAATAATCAAATCATCTATTTCATTAATATTTCATACAAAATGAATACAATTGAAAATAAAATATAAACATAAATATTTACATATTCTGTATTTATCATACTTTTTTTTATTTTTATTTGTTAGGAGCAAAATATAATAAATGGAAAATTCTATGGATGCAAATTTTTTTGCATCTTTTTTCATTTTTGTAAATTATTTAGATGCATTTTTTCTTTGCTAATTTTGATTCAACAACCCGCTGTATTAATAAAAATAATCAAAGAATGCATTATATAATTTATTTCTTTTTATTTTGGTTTCAGTTGCTTGTTGCTTATCATACATATTATAAATGTCACCTAAAACCACCACAAAAACAAACATTTTCATTTTTATCATCTTTACATTTTCAATCTTTATGAAAATAAACTTAAACCACACACTCATTCTCTTTCTTTTTTTTTGAAATTATTCAGTAATTTGCCTGTTAAAAACACAAATTTGTTGTTATTCTATCATTAAACATATTTATTGTTTTTCATTTCTTCATTATGCTGAGTGTTGATGTGTTATTTTCTTTTACTCAACAATGCATATATATTTCTTCAAACATCTTCATCTTTTTGTGTTTTACTTTTTTTCATTTATTGTTTATTAATTCTTTAGAAAAGATACTTTATTTCAGTTTTTCAAATCTTTTATATCCAAATTCTCATCTGTATGTAATTTTTTGTTTCTTCTTGTTTATTCATTTTCATTTATTTGTTATTCTTGTCTTTTTTTTATTCTGTTTATTTTGTTTGTCTTTTTCTTCTATGTTATTTTGTTATTCATTTTTTTTCTTTTTCATTTCTTATATATTATCTGTTGTGTTTTTCTTGTTATGTTATTTCATTCTTATTTTCTTCTTCTTTTTATATATTATCTTTTCATTTAATCTTTTTGATGAATCACTTTACTTTGTTTTTCTTTCTTTTCTGTTTTTCTTCTTCAAAAACTTTTCTTCTTATTTCTTTTATTTCTCTTTTTCTTCTTTAATTTATCTATGAATATAATAATACATTTCTTCTATATTATAAATTCACATCTCAAATTATCTGGTATTTGAAAATCCAAAATATCATTTTATTCTTTGTTTTGTGATGCGTTTCATTCTTGATTATTATTCAAAACAACATTCCATTGACTTTTTTGTTCTTTGTTATATTCATCAATTTGTTCATCTATTATCTTTCTATTATTTCTGTTTCTTGTATTTCATTTATATCATCAACGTTCACATCTTGTATATCTCTTCTCAATATAACGCATTTATTTATTCTCTAATTTAGTATTTTATTTCTTTCAAAACATTCCTTTCATTTTAAACCTATAACTCGTTGTTTTCAAGCATTTGTACTTCATTTGTTAATTATTTTTATTTGTTTCATTGCTCATTTTCTAATTTAAGTGTGTATGTTTAAATTTCATCAATAATTTTTAGAATGATACAACAACATCAAAATTAACCAAGACTTTAATAATGATAATAAAATCATACAAAAGTTTAACATAAAATAAAAACAATATCCCAATTAATTATAAAATAAAATAGACTGAGTTTGTTATGGTATTTATAGTTCGGTGTATATTGAAACGAATATATAGCAATGAAATGATTCTATAAACAAATATTACTGTTTATATTGTTTTCATTTATTTTTCACTGAGTTATTCTATTGTAATGTTAATTTATTAAAAATTAATTAAAATTGTTTGTCATTATCAAGTTATATATTTTTATCACCTTTTATTCCTTTATCATATTCATTCGTGTTTTATTTGCATTTATCATTTTTATTTGAAATTGGTTATAAAAGTAATAATGACATCAACTGATATTTTATTGATATAATTATAAATTGTAGAATAGTGTTTTAAATATATTATTTAATGTTTTGAATATCATTTGAATAGTTGATTTTATTGTAGATAATCAATTAGTGATTGAATATCATCAATAATCTGTTAATTCATTGAAAAAAGTTGAATATGTTCACTTCTAACTTCTTTCATATTCAAAACAATTATTACATATCAAGTAATAATTCTTATTGAAATTGTATTTTATCATCCATAGAATTATTTATTCAAAATTATCATTCATTATTTAAGCATATTATTGATGTTATAAAATGATATTGTTTAATTTAAAATAATAAATGTATTTTTTGAAACAATAAAAATGAAGTGATTGAAGTGATACAGTTAAATAGTAAATCTCAAATAATAACATCAGAAAATCAATTTGATAGTGTATTTTAACGTCTTATAATAATATAATTGGATTAATAAATATTATATGAAACGTCAATATAAATAATAACAATTAATGAAGATGATATTTATTAATTAAGTCCATTTCACTCATATGAATTAAATGAACATAAAATAATAAGTACGTTATTAAAATAGAATATGAATAAACCAATTAATAAATCACATGGAAAGAATAAAATAGAAAAAGAAATAGATAAATGGAATGATAAATAAAAAAATGAATAGATAAAAGAATGAAGAAATTAGTGAAGAAATGAATAAAGATTATAAAGAATCAATGATAAATTAATAATATACCAATCAAGAATATTTAAATAAATTAAACTATTATCAAAATTAACCAATTCATAAATAATTTCAAATATATTTTTTTAATTGTATTTATGTATTTTTTATTTTTCATAACAGTTTAATGAAAATGTAATATTTATTTACACTATTAAACTATAATAACATCATTAAATATCAATGAATTGATACTCTATTTCTTTTCTTTTTTTTTTAACAATTTCTAATTCAATCAAAAGAAAAAAAAAGAATAATTGAAACAAAAAGTAATTTAATTCGTTTCTTCAAGAGTTTTAATAAAATCATTAGGAATGAAAAACTTTTTTAATAAAAAGAGAAAAGAAGTAATAACAAAGAAAGCGATAATGAAAGGTTGATATTGTAATAATTTAGATTCTATGACATAATTCAAATGTAACATATAACCTAAAGTATGATATCCAGTTATATTCATTAAATGGTTATAATAATAATCAGGAGAATTTAATTTATATTTATTATCCTTATCAATATATTGTTTTATTATTCCTAATTTAAACCAACCATTTGGATGATTTGATGATGTAGCAATTAAATACCATTCAATAGCCTTTTCTAAGACAGGAACATTTTCAATACCATAATAATAATAATCACCAATCTTTCCAGCTTCAACTCCACTTAAACCAGGAATTTCTTTCATAAATAAAGTCCAAAGTAGATTATTATTCTTTCCCAAAAAAATTGTTTCATATAAATGAAGTGCTTTTAACATACGAAGTTTATAAGAAACATTTTGACAACCTTGACCTGCTTCAAGCATAAAAGCAGCATTTAATTGAGCATTAACAAAACCTAATTCAGATAAAAATTGATAAATCATTAAAGCAGGATGATACATATTATTATTATAATACCTGTCTGCTAAGTCATTTAAGATTTGAAATTGAAGATTTGATTTAAATATCATCTGATGAAATAATGAAATCCCGAAAGGACAAGTAATGATTGAACTATTTTCAAATAATGAAAAGGCTAATGAATATGATCCTTGTTCATGATTTAAACCATTAATTAATATTTGTTTACTATAATATCGTGAAAGGCTTTGATTATAAAAAGGAGTTAATGGTTTATTATATAAATTCATTAAATGATAAAATGAATCAATATGTCCATTTAATGCTCCTTCTTTTAAATTAGAAACTGTTTCTTCTAATGAAAATCCAATTGGAGAATCAACTTGTTGATATATTAAACCAAGTCTTGTATTTGCTAATTTTGATGTATTTAATGTTTCATAATATATTTCTGCTGCTTTTGTTTTATTTATTGGTACACCAATTCCTAATTCTGTTAAAATTCCTGCAAGAACTGTACCATCATTATTTCCCATCTCTCCTGCTTTTGTAAATAAATCATAAATTTCTTTTCCTTTATATCCTAATCTATATAACAATTTTCCTAAATAAATCATTTCAGTTGAACTTATTGTTTCATATTGAATTATATTTTGAATTGATTGTGTTAAATAATTAAGTTTTTGTTTTAGAAATGGTATTGCATTTTTATGTGCATATCCATAAGTCACTGGTTGAAATAATGGAAATCCCATTGGTAATTGAAATTCTGAATCATATAATAACCATTTATTTATTCCTTTTAAATATAAATTGGCTACTTCATAACATTCTTCATCTGTTTCTCTTTCTGTATTCTTTTTATTTGCTAAAATTAATTGTGCAATTGGATCTTCCATTTCTACTGCTGCACTTAAATGAATGTTAGCAATATAATGATCATATTTTTTATCTCCTACAACCTTTTCTCTTTCTTCATCACTTATATCTCTTAATAATATTTGATTTAAATATTTTATTAAATGTTCTCTTCCTGTTTTTGGCTCTTTGTTAGTTGGTAATTTACTTTGACTATCAGTTAATTCTTTAGGAATAGTGTTATTTCCAATTAATATCTCTAAAATTTCACTGAATTCTTTCATTGCATTATTTACTATATCTGCTCCTGGAAATATATTATCCATTTCAATTGAATTAGCACCTTGACTCTTATTAACTAAACAAATAAGAAAAAGGGTGATACAACGTAACATTGTCTTTTACTTTTTTTTTTGTCAGAGCTTTTCTTCTTTTTCTTATTATTTTTTTATTATTTTTTTATTATTTTTTTTATTATATTTTCTTATTTATTATATAACATTTTCTAACTATTTGTTATTTATGTTAATTAGTTTTTTCCTCTTTTTTTTAGTTTTATATAACATTATTGAATATTTTTTATTTTTTAAAAATAGCACACTAGAAAAGAATCGATGGTTATAAAATTAAAATCAGATATAAAAAAAAAAACTAGTTAAATTTAATAAAAATTTAGTAAAAAACTATATTTTTCTAACGAAAGATAGAAACAAAGATAGTGAGATTGTCAGCAAAAAGATGCGATTCGATGAACTTAAAAAATTTTTAAAGGACAGTGATATTTAAGGATGGAAACCATACAAAAATTATGTCATTCAATACCTGTAATTTCTCCTCATTATTATACTGTTGCTCTTTTATTCTTAGCACCAATTCCATTTGGTTTAATTAGTAAATTTATTAAGAATAGAACAGCAAGAGTTTGGTATATAATCATTATTTCATTTATTTGTCAATGGGTTTGTTTCCAAGAATATATGCTTCATGGAACATTTGCAATCCTTATGACATATATATTCATGAAAATAATTCCATTCCCACAAGCTCATTATATTAATTTAATTTTCCAATTTGCATATGTATTATATGGACATGCATGGAGAATGTATAATTATTATTTAGTATATTCTACTGATTGGACAATTATTCAAATGTTACTTGTTGTTCGTTTAACTCAAATTTCATGGTATAAAAATTTATCTTATCAACCTATTGAATCAATAAAACCAAGACATAGAAATTATATTTTAAAAGATGATATTTCTTTGTTTGATCTTTTTGCTTATTGTTATCATCTTCCAGGAATGTTAATTGGACCAAATGTAGATTATCCTACATTCCTTAAATTCCTTGATCTTTCTATGTTCCCAAATAAACAAATTCCAAAAACAGTTAATACAAAGGCATTTTATACTAGACTTATAGAATTATTCATTATTTATATGTTTGGTGTTACTGATCCACTTGATTTTAAATATATGATTACTCCAGAATTTATGGAACATTCATTTTTCTATAGATGGGGATATTTAATGGTTGCTCATTATACAAATATGTCTAAATACTTATTTATGTTTGTTGCTGGAGAATTAGCTTGTGTTGGATGTGGAATTTCTTATTATATTAATGAAAAAGGTGAAGAAAAATTCTGTAAATATAGAAATATAAGAATGATGAAAATTTTAACTGCAAGAGGATTACGTATGTTTGCATCGAATTGGAATCTTGGAATTGTTCAATGGATTACTTCTGTTGTAAATGATATTGTTCCAAGATCATGGCCTGAATTAGCTCGACATGCACTTACATATATAGTAAATGCATTTTGGCATGGATTTTATCCAGGATATTTATTATTCTTTTTCTGTTGTGGAATTCCTTATGAATTTTGTTCAAAAGGATTTCTTAAAATTATTAATACTTATATCAATAAAAAAAGTAAATTATATTATGTATATCAAGTTTTAGGATTCTTTTTCTCTTTGATATTAATGCAATTCTGTCATATGGCATTTAATGTTTGTTCTTTTTATTTCTTTTATCTTAAATTGAAAATGAATAAAAAGACTTATTTAATTAGTTAATGGCATTTGAATATGTCTGGAAATGTTGGTCTAATTTCCACTTCTATTTCTATGTCATTTTAGCTGGAATGTATGTATTACAATTTATCATTCCACCCCTCCCAGCAGATTATTGGGACGATAAAAAAGAGACAAAAGAATCAAAGCCATTTGAACCAGTCAATCCACAACAACAAGAATTAGAAAAACCAAAAAAGGAAGAAGTTAAAATGGATTAACTAATTCTTTTAAATCCAAAAAAGGGTGGTTGTTTCGTATCTAATAAATGGTTCATTAATTTTATGATTTATTTCTTTTTTTATTTATTTATAAAAAGAATTATAGTTTTTCCTTAAATAAGATGAGTAGTATAATAATATTATTCTTTTGTTGAATAATAATAATGAATTACGACTTACACACTAATAACATCTAGGTTGCTCAAAATTAATGACTTATTTTATTCAAAAGACAAGAATTATACTACTTCTTTTTAAATGAATTTTTTAATATTATTTCTTGAAAAAGTTATAATACTAAAATAAAAGGAATGAAATATAATAATTTATTTAATGGTGTTACTTGTTTATTCAAAACATCTCTTGTATTAAAATATTACTCTATTTTACTTATTGTTTAATTTTTATAACATTTTGTGTTACTTAAATGTTGTTTTTGATACGTTTTGATATGAGTTTATATCAAACATACCATTAATGAATAAATAATGTATGACATATATCAAAATAATAAGAAATAAGAGAATAAGAAAAACACTTGTATATAAATATTATTCTGAATTGAAAAAAATATTAAAAAACGCAGTAACAATGAAATAATATTAATAAACTTATTGTATTTATTACTGCAGTATTAAACAAAGAAATAAAAAAGAATATTAAAAAATAAATGAGTTAAAACAAAGAAAATAACAATTAAAGATATTAGAATAATATATAGAAAAGTATAAAAATTATATTTAATAGTATGTTATACATTTATAGAAACTAATAAAGGAGAAAATAAAAATAAATAAACATTAATAAGAATAAATGATATAAAATTTGCTCTACAATACACATTTAATTATATTTATTACCAAATATTAATTTAATCTTTATTTTTTTATTTGGTCGGTTTGGAAATTAATTTTTTAATAAACAGAATTATTGAAAAATTTAAACAAACATTTCTTCATATTTATAAATTCTTATTTTAAATAAACCTATTTTAATTAATGTTTTTCTGATTGATATATTAATTATTCATTTCTTTTAACTTAACTTATTAATGAAATAAGTTTTTTATACTATACATCATTATGCAATACGATTGTTTATAAATTTCTTGTTTTGTTTTTATGTCAGCATCACTTTTACTCTCTAGTACAATACACTCATTAAAACAAATTCTTCAATTATATCTAATTTTATTTCTTTTATCATAGTCTTGACTTGTGACATTCTATTTCTGTTGTTTTCATCAACTTATTCTCAACATTATTTTCTTCTATGACAATTGATTTATATTCAGAACGTTGTCTTCTTATTCATCTTTCAATATTAATATGATTTTTTAAACTTCTATCCAATATTAGAAGTTTTTCAATCTCATTTTCTGATCTACAATTATAAAATCATTCATTTGGTTATGAATTTACATAGTAAACTGGAAATTCAACATATTATTCAATTTCTTTAATAATCCAAATAATTGTAGATAATAATATTTACTTCTTATATATTTTAATTATTTTAATGTATGTAATAATAACATTTCTTCTAAACAATACAAACATATTTACCAAAATAATAAAATGGAAAAAATGTTCCTCATAATTTGAATCAATGTTTTTATGTTATTAAAAAGTTTGTCATTATTATAATTAAATAATATAACAATAGACTCTTTTCATTTTTGTTTTTAATAAAATCGACTATATCATTTAACCACTTTTCATTCATTTTAATTGAGTCTTGAATATCATTTGTGTCAATAAATAATATATCACTTTTGTAACTTTCTTCATTATGTTCAACTGTATCTTGTGTTTGTTCATTGTAATTACTACTTATAACATATATATCATTTTAATGATAAAATTACCAAGCAAACTTTTACCATCACGTATATCACAAACCAGAAGTATTTTAGTTTCTTGAATTTCTTGTAAACTTATTAATTAATAAACAGATGTAATATCAATTTATTTACATTCAGAATGTTGCTAATATTTATAAAATAATTATTTCATAAATGATGTTTTTTATTTTTGATAATACTTAAAATAAATACAAAATTAATGGATTAAAATTTTCAATCACCAAGTTTAAGATGTAATATAAAATTATTATTAATAATTAATACTTACATATAAATATCGCTGTATTGTTATTTAATATGTTGAGTTATTATTGAATATTCTTTATTATATTGTGTGTTTATATTTGAATATTTTTTGAATTGAATTTATTTATTTTATTTCAATATTTATTATTATGCTTACATTACTTTGTCTTCTTGTTTAATTTAAAATTGTTATGTTTAGTCATTTCTTGTTATATCTGGTTTTATTTATTTTATTGTTTATTTTATTTATAATATTCTTTATTTTATATTCTCATTGTTATTTCATTCTTTATCATTTATTTATATTAAGTAGTTATGTTGTTATAAGTCTTTTGAATTTTTCATTCCATTATTTTTGTTCAAATTTATGTTGAATGAAATAATAATAGTATCATTCTTACATTATTATATTTAACAAATAAAGTGAAATAAATATTATTTCAACAATTGTTTATTTTGTATTATTTTCTCTTTATGTTGGTTTTATTGAATTTTATTAAGAAATGATTTAAATTCAAAACATTAAATATTCCAATAAATAGAGTTTTATTTCATTTACATTTTTATCACAAAATAAATATTACAATGGTATATTTAACTAAATATAAATGTACTTAACAAATAGTGAAATATAAATAATATGCATTTAAATTATATATTATATCTAATAAAATGTTAGAATAATGAATATTTAAGATGAAATATATGAAATGAATAATATAAATAAAACATAATACATTCATTAATGTAATGATTTGTCAATATTTATATTATATAATTTTAATGTGTTAATTAAAAATAATGTTGTATTTCTTTATTGTTGATTAGAGTGTGTTTAATAATAATAAGCAGAGTATAATACAACAACAATAAAATATTCATAACAAACATTTTCATAATTGAGATTAATAACAAATTTTAAATTTCTATTTCACAAAATAAAAAACATAAAAATAAAATAAAAAAAATTTAAAAATAAAATTCATCAATGGTGTTGCAAATATTTTCTTCTTTTCAAAATGTTGATGTTTTTTTTTTCAAAAATCAATCAAAATGAATATTTAAACATTTACTCAATAATCTAAATATTGAATTAGTATTAATAGCGTATTAATGTTTTTTTTGCTCTATCAAATTCTTCAATCAATTTCTGCTCACATTGCTAATTTCTTTTTTGGAAGTGTTCTTGTCGGTTTTGGGGTTATTATGTATGCTTATTGCCAACGATGTTCAGCTCGTGTAGCTTCACTTTGTGTTTCAATGACAGTGGTTATTGCCGCAATTCTTGTCTTATTTTTGATAGCTTCCAGTCAGGATAATATCAAAAACATCACAACAACTTCATATAACTATGGATATGAAGATAAATTAATTTAATTTAATTGTGTATTTGGTTTAATTTAACAAATTGTAGAATAACAAATGATAATAATTAATAACTACATTTGTATATTAATGTGTTATTATAGAATTTTATAGTAATAACAAAAGTCAAATAAATCATCAAAATTATAAAGCAATAAATTAAGTATTAATAGAATTAATTTCTATCATTCCTTCATCAGATAAGACTAATCCAGTCCCTTCGTCTTCATCTTCTTCTAGCAGCTCTACGGAGTATGTTTTGTTGTGATAAAATCAATATTCCATGACATCATTCATGTTTTTTATGACAATGTTTTTTACTTCTTTAATGATGTCAATTTCAATTTTTATTTCTTTAATTAATTTATTACTTGAGTTATTTATTATTTCATTGATTGAGATTACTACTGGAATTATTTTGACATCTTTTAATTTTTCTATTTTCATTAGCATATTCTTTAATTCTTTATACTTATTTCTTTTCTTCATTTACACTCAATTAATATTGTGATAAGCAACATTAGTCATATCAAATAATAGACTAGTTTTATTCTTTTTATCTATTACATATATGTCTGGTATTTTGTGATATTGTCCATCACTTTTAGGCATTATTTGTTTGTTCCATATCATAGTGATGTCTTTATATTGGAACATTGTTTAATATGGAGGTTTTTTATATTGATTATTTAATGTATATTTTCTTATTAATCAATATTATAATGCCAATATTGTCATATTTTTCTATTTGTGATTTTTTATGATAAATACAAGATAGTAAGAATGTGTTTTACTGTTGATATTTTGTCTTTACACAGTGTGTAGTATTTCAATCTTTCATTTTTCATTATTTTTGATTTTCTATACAAACAAAATATTGCTCCATCTTGCATTTTAGTTAATTGTAGGAATGCATTTTTCTTAATATTGATTGATTTCCATGCTTTCACTGTAGTAGTTTTATCTACTCATTTTGACTCAAACCATCTTCTAAAATATCCACTTATTTGATGAAATTTCCATTTTTTGATGTATTTATCATTAACTTCTTTATTTCTATTACTACTACTTCTTTTTTTCTTTTCTATAAATTCATTTATTATTTCTTCTATTTTTGTTTCATTTATTTTATGACTTAATGTTTTTAATTCTATTCCATATTCCATTCTTTCTGTACCATCTATCTAATATGTTATTTCCAATTTCACATTCTCTGGTACAGTAGTACATTACTATTCTTACTAATTCAATAATATATTCATACCTTATATTTATTAATCATTCACCCATTTCTTCTATAATGACATATAACCTATCTTTGGAGTTTCACCATTGTATTTTGCCTTTCTTAAATATTTTCTTATCTCCAAACCCATTTTATCTAGGTCAGTGATTTTCCAATTTACAACTGATGCTGAATATCTGAATGTATTGATTACTTCATTATTTATTCTAGTAATATATCTTCTATTACTACTTTCATCAGTGTTTATTTCTTCCATCTTTTTCATCATTTTTTCTTTGA